AGGGGGGGGGGACTTGGTTCAGAGGTAAAATTTGCGACTTGGTTCAGAAGTTAAATTTTAGAGAAAAAATGCCGCCAAAGTAATGTGGAGTCCATAGTTTGAGAGTCGTTGGAAACTGAAAATTTACAATTTTTGTGCCTTTTATCGATGTTTTTCAATAAAATTCTTGCAAAAATATGTTTTTGATTGTGCATAAGTGGTATTGAGCCAAAAAAAAATTAATTCTATCAAAATTGCCACACTGCAAAAAAGAGAGTTTTCTTCATTTTCCTTATTTTGACAAGCGTCTGATTTCATCATGATGCCTCGCTTTTTCTGTTCTTGGTGGGGTGGGCAGGTCTGCATCAAGGTCTGCGTGCCACCGTCTGACCAACTGTACACTGAAGACAAGAGTCACCACTACTAACATACCACTCCTTCCCCCCTACCCTTCCTGCCTCGCACCGTCCTGGTCTCTCTTTCTCTTTATCTCTGCTTGTTGGTTTGTGCGGCGCTCCTGCATGTGTGTGTGCACTGTTCGTGTTCCTTGTGTGTGTGTGTGTGTATCCATGTAGCCATCCATTAACCTCTCTCTGTGTTTGTCTCGTTTAGCATGATGACATGCATTATTCATTATAAATTATACACACCATCCTTCTCTCGTGCCCGCTGAGGCAGTATGTTTGGTTTTTTTTAACATTACAGATTTTTATTAACACCTTTATTTTGCTGGGTTAATGGTTCGACTTAAGATTTCAAGTTTGTTTGTTAGTGTATCTGCTTTTGTGTTCGTTTGGATGGTTTCTTGTACATAACTGGTCAAGGGGGGGGGAAGAGGGATTTTTTTTTTACTAGAAAGATTTTGTTTTTGCTGGGTGACTTTTATGCAAAATTATAGGTTACTTGCCAAGGTCGAACAGTCTAGTTTTCTTGCAGTACTTTTTAAAGGTATTTTCAAATGAAATATAGTCCGGGAACATTGCCCCAACCACAACTGAAGTATCTGAATATTCGTGCTGACATTTAAAAATCTCTAGCTCTAGAAATTGAATTTGATGCAAAAAATGCTTCTCCAGTCCTCGCAGAATGGCAAAATGAAAGGATGACGCCTAAATCTC